GCGCGAGTTTGAAAATGTGTGATACAATCTAAGCAAATTATGCGCTAAGGAAGGGCGGCTTTAAGAGTTTTCGGCGTGCTACAGTCACTTTTGGGCGGTCTCGCATTTGGACCGCGTTAAACACGAATCAGCCATTAGCAATGGGATTTTCGAATGACTTTTTTTATTCACAACTTGAATTTTACAGAACTTTAGCGAGCTTTTTCGAGCTCTAGGACTCGATTTTTGACTTTTTGAAGATAACATCGTTTTTGCCGCGAAAAGATCTATAGCTACGTATATTTTATCCTCAAAGCCCTCCCTCACCCATTCAACAACCCCATTCATTTTTACAAACAAACGATAATGTAGATTCTTTTGGGGGTTTCATGAAATTTTCCCAGTGGCGTGCAGCAAATCCCCCGAGATTTTCAAAAGAATCAGTACAATCGCTCTCCTATAAAAAAATAAATTGTGCGAGGAAATTTTGCAGTGCCTGATGTGACTTGGTTACTTTCTGCTTAACGCGATCCATTTAAAAAGTCTATTCCTCGTGTCTACCTCTGCATTGCGCATCGCTGAAGTGCAACAGACCCATTGTAGACTAGTCGAGAAACACCCGCCATTTACGATTAGTTACCTAGCCGAGTTCGATCTCCATTAACCAGCTCTGCCGTGATAGCGAAGAGAGCAGTAATTGCACGCTAAGATGAACCTCGAAACACATAAGAGCATGTGCTAACCATGGCTTATATAGAAATGCACTTACGGCTCTCTTTGCTATCACGGCAGAGCTTCCCTATTACGAGTACTTAACAAGCACCGCTACAATGTGAATAGATCCTTTATACGTTTAACGACTTCCAAACAAATACGCGTGTACGTGGTCGCTGCACGGTGCGTGCGAACTGCATTTGACGTCATGTCGCGTCGCGCCGGCCCCGTCGCACACCGGGACGGACCTTTGTGAGAGGTCGGACGAGAAATTTATGAATGAAACTATAAATTGTGATGTTTATACCGTAACATTATAAATTTGAATGGGTGCCGCGTATGTTAAATTTTACGAGAAAGCCAACGGGAGCCGTATTTAAACTCCGACCTCTCGTAAACACGATAATATTAGCTTTTACAGAATTTCCGCGTCGTTTCCGACTTCTCTCATCGACGCGCCTCACTGTGCGCACGCGCCGTGCAGTCCCGTTTGCACGTCTGAAATCCGCGAGTTGCGGGTAAGAAGCTCCTGAAACTTTCTTTGTTCGAGTGTTTTACATACACGTTTCCGAGTAATTACTCTGGGTTTCTCTTTCCACGAATTGTTTTCACGCCTGCGCCCTGTCGCCATCGCCTGACCGATCGAGAAGTCGAGTGGAAATGCCCGCTAATTTTTCGGAGGCTCTCACGACCTTGAATTGCAAAACCTCCGTTCGGAGGTTTCGTTATAGGCCAAGGTGTGAAAATAAAAGTGGGACTCTACCTCTCATCCATGGATTGTAGTTGGACGGTTGAACACTAAAAGCACATGTCTCGACCCTAACAGAAATATATCTTTACCTTGATTTCCGAAAAATCATCCGAGGCTTGGAAAGATCATCAATGATCATCACAATAGCGAGTTGTCAAAAAAAGGAACTACAACGGGCCACATCACAATTCGTCAATACTGTCGTGGTGATCATCGAAGATCTTTACGTACCCCTGAAGATCGTTTGTAGCACATTTTGCAATAAGGTATTATTATACCTGGCTCATCCATAAAAGCACCTATCTACGTTGGGAAGATATCAGCATACATGTTGTTTCAGAAATAAGGCAGAAACGGTGGTTCCTTTTTGTAAAATGGAGTTCATCAATTCGTAGTTTCTCAGACGAAAGAACGTGACTATACAATACAGTGTTGAAAACTTTCCACTTGCAAATTGCATACTTTCTAGGAGAATGTGGGTTTGTTCCGGAAAAAAACTTAGCTCGGGTGGAGGAAAAATCCAAGAAACAAAAAGGAAAACTAAATTCAATCCAAAATTTTTGGTAAATGGCAAATGTCAAAAATTAATAACTTTTTGTTCTTCCAATGGTGGAACCTTGAATTTGGTACTTTTCGAAACGAGATGCACGCATATTTTAACTGAAAAATGAGAACAACGGGAAATGATAAAAGACGCACGTGACCTGCATAATCATATTCCGCAATAAAAAACCGGTAATTGCATTTTTACCAAGTAAGGCTGTTTTCAAAACCAGAATTCAATTGTCTTGTTTTTAGTAAAATCTCACGCAAGAACAGATAGTTAAATCTAAAATACGCGTTCCATATCTGAGCTCCATTAAAAATGAAATTAAGGCGGCCTGGAGTGCACTTATTGCGACTCAGAAAAAAACGCATCTGGCGAGGCCTGCACCGCGATGAGTGGAGGAAAGAGCTTCCAGCCAGTGAAAGCTCCGCCTGAGGGCTCTGGTGGAGTGGCAAAGCCGGACTCTCTGAAAGTCGCGCATCGGATTGACCAGCGGCGGCCGGTGAGGCAACAGGCCCGCCACCTCGCATCGAGTATCGATCACCTCATCGCCGTCATGCAATGCGCGCACTCGTAATCGGACTGCAAACTTCGATCAATCATCGTAACAACCGGACAGATCGTTTCGGCTTCCGCTCCGCCGGTCAAGCTCGACTCGTTGACCATCTAAATACTCCTCAGAGATGAGAGATGACAGGGGAGCACTTAAGTCCAAAAACGCATGAGCCCTGCCTCTCGTGGATCACGCAGGGCGCTACACTCAGAAAAATATTTGAATCAGTGAGAACGGAAACACACCAACTTAGTATCTCGAAGATGCTTAATGGAGATGTTGCATGTGTGAGGAATTTGCGATTTTACAATTGATTTTTACGTAAAAGTTCGCGAGAAACACGATGGTGCCGCTGGTTTTCTCTGAAATCGACTCCCAAGCTCAGAAAAAGCTCTCAAGTTGAGGCCAAAGTGGAGGGGATATCCCACGCTATCCTGAGAGTCCACTTCTACATCAAAACAAACTCTCTGAGCAAAGATAGGGAGCAGATACATTGACAGGGCTGCCACTTTATTTGGGGACTCTGAACTGAGAACACGGCAACCCTGCTAATGTATTTGCTCCCTATCTTTGCATGGAGAGTTTGTTTTGATGTATGGGTGGACTCTCAGGGTAGGGTGGGATATCCTCTCCATTTTGGCCTCAACTTGAGAGCTTTTTTTGAGCATGGGAGTTGATTTCAGAAAAAACCAGTAGCACCATCGTGTTTCTCGCGAACTTTTACATAAGAATCAACAGTCAAATTGCAAATACCTCACACATGCAATATCTCCATTTCCACTAAAGACAGTTAATTCACATAAAGACCATTGCCGTTAGCGCATCTGTTCCAACTTGGACCTTTAAAGTGTCCATAAGTACCTGTCTTTTGGCAACAAAAATATTTTTCTTAAACTAACTTCTTCACCTACACGGAAAAAACGAGTTTAGGGCTGCTACCTGCACCGAAGGTCCCAGCCCTAACCGGGTAGGTAAAATTGCTTCACCTCCACCGCCATAGGGGCAGGCCCGGCGCGCGTAGAGCCCAAATCTACCTACTTCAGGGTTCAGCCCTACCTGGTAAGAGCTGCACCCTGTCCAGGTAGGGCTGGGCCTTACCCCCGCAGGACCTGCCCCTGTGGCGGTGGAGGTGAAGCAATTCTAGGGCCCAGCCCTAAGCTCGTTTTTTCAGTGTACTACCGTGTAGTTTTGTGCGTGTCTTGATTATTTTCATTTTTCCGAGTTGGTGTGTTTTCGTTCTCACTGATTCATTTGTGTTCTTGTGTTACTGTGTAACACACTTGTTTGTGTAACTTGTGTTAAAGTTGTTATAGGAAGTGAAACACAAACCGACCCAAATTGGGGCGTTGGGTGCACCGACATCGGCACTCGCCTTCTGATGTGTGTATATTTCGCCTGCCGGAGCGTGTGTCTAGTTTACAATTGCCCGCGTTGGAAAAGTTTCTAGTTCCGCGAAACTCAATAGGTATCTGCAATTTCTTTGTACATGCCAAACTGAGAGGGACATTTTTTATTCCATAAAGACTTGATGGAAACGCCTGGTTTCCATGCGAGTTTCATGGAAACGTCATGAAGTCCACGTCGAGCTCATAAGGAAATATTTTCATTTCCATGAAGGTTTCATGGATGTGACCAGGTTCCCATGTGAGTTTCATGGAAACGTTATGATTACTGCGTCAAAGGACATGGAAGTCAGACGATTTCCATTAAATCACATGGAAATCGAATTGTTTCCATGTGAATCTACATGGAACATTTTTAGCAGGGTTTTGCACCCAGCGCTTCAATTTTTTGCTGATTTTGGCGAAGCTTGCGGTGAATTTAGACACGAAAACAATAGACAGACTGGAGAGCCCCTAAATCAACCGAAGGATTGGGTTATTTTGTGCTTTACTTCCCATATTAACACAAAATGTCGGTTACTTTTTCCCACCGTGTTCGTGATTTTCTGGACCTCCAGTTCAGGACTTCGTTTTCTTTCTTAAATTGGCGTTAAAGTCTCCAAGGTTTTTCCTTTCATGAAGTGAAAGCAGAGGCGTTTTTAAAGAAATTTGACTCTCAGGGAAATGTTTTACTACCTGCTGCCTAAAACTGCATTGGTAAACTTGATCCTTGTGATTGCTGATAGTGTTATTACTTTTCCTTGAATATTTAAGTTTTGTGTGTGGGCAACTCGAGAGTTACTCAGTTGGTGGTAAGCTCAAGTTCCGTTGAGGACACATTCAGACTTTGTTTCAGAGAATAATGAAGAAAAAGCGATAGACCTACAGCATGAATGTTCTATAGATACAAAATAGCCTGAAGTTTACATGAACCAAATTTAAGTTTTACGTTTAGTCCAAAAGGAAGCTTTAAAAATACAATCCCATGACTTTTTGAATGTGAAGAGGCGTACTGTATCGCACATTTAAGCACAAATAACAAAGTTAGCTAAGACTTTAAAAAGTAGGCTTTACCTGTTTGATTTGCAGCTTTATTTTCTTCTGAAATCGATGGTACTTGGTAAACTTCCAGGAGAAAGGCTTTTTCAGAACAGATAAGCCTGAGATGGAATTCATTTTAATAAATTCCTAGTATCCAATTCTGAAAGAAAATCAGAGAAAATTTCTTCATCAGGATAAATAAAAAAGCAACAATAATGAGTGTAGAAATAATAAAATGAGAAATGAATAGTAAATTGACAAACATTTTACACTGGGCTAAAAACTTAGCATATGGACAGAGTTCATTGATTCTTACTTATCTGCGAACCAGGTCTTTTATCGACTCGAATCGCCCTCTATACTGAGAAAAACGATTGGATCGCATTTAGCAAAAAGGAGCCAGCGCGATTGCTGTGTTTTCAAAATTGTGTAACTTCGTATTTTCTTTTAAAAATACCTAATATATGCACTTTATTAAATTTCACAAGATTATCTTCCTTTAGAGCTAACAATTTTTGTTGAGAAGCCAAAAGTACTCGCTATTTTGGGAAATTTCTTAGATAATTATGAAGAAGCAAAATTTCTACAATACTGAAATCGAGCTGGTTCCTTTTTGCTAAATGCAATCCAATTGTGTTCGTGTGATACTTCCGGTAGATACCGGAAATAAAACACAAACCAACCAAAATTTCGTGTCCTAAATGCGATTTGCGTAAAAGAAAAAACAAATCGAAAACAGTCAAGAAAGGGATGAAACCTATGAGCCAATCGAAGACTTGGGTTACATCGTGGCCTATTTCCCAATTTCCCATTTTGACTGAATATTTGTGTTATTTTTTTCTTTCAAAGTATGGGCTTGGTGTGTGGTGGGATCTGGTCTGTGTACTGTGTAACGGCCCAGAGAGACCCGGTAGTTTTCTTCATGGTGAGCGGCAACCCTGATTTCTGGCGTATGCGTGTCGCGCGGCGCGGCGCGCGTATCCCGAATTCAAGGGCAATAGGCCGCGACGACGACGGCGCGACTATACCGGCCGGTGCACACACCGTCGCGCTTGGATGAGCATTGCCGGGCGTGGATGAGCGAGGCATTATGGGTAAACGAGCAAAGATCGCCTGGATGTTCCGCTTAAGTCCACAAACGAGCATGAAGCCTAGTCTTTACAAAACGTACGTACATAGGAAGAACGTCGCAGGAACATTCAGACGTTGCCAACTTTTTCCTGCTGAAATCCGATTTTCTTCGAAATTTATAATTTTTTTCACCTGAATTTTTCAGGGAATTTCATTCGGGATTTTATCTGACGCTTCCGGAAAGTTCGAGGAAAAATATTCATACATTTTCTTACGAATTTATTTTTTAATCTAGGACAATTTTGCAACATTTGGATTCTTGTACGTATTTCTTTCTTGGTGCGGTGAAAAAGCATCGCCTTCCCGGCCGAAACACCGCCTGAAAGAGCCCGTGTGCTGATTTTTAGTGGAAATGAGGGTAAGTAGTGTACGGAAGGAAATACAAACAAAAATCGGTCCGTGTGAAAGCCAAAAATCGAATTTTAAAGTACTAGAGAAAAATAATCCTTTAACGAGCGAGATATTAGACGCACGTCGGCAAAATATACTACTCCTAGGACTGCTTGGAGTGAAACATGTTAAATTTTGACAATCCTGTTTTATTTGCATTGAATTTATGAGGCTTTTTGCATGAAATGACCGGAAAAGGTTATTATTGTTTTAAAACACTTTCAATTTTGCGGTATCCTCACACAGACAGGCCTTTACCTCAAGGCAAAGTTTTCCGAAAAAAATATCATGTGATCTAGCATTGTGGAAAATTGCCCATCATGCTTCTCTCCCCCTTCAAATACTTTTCTTGCACTGAGAGAGGGGGAATATGGAGGAGGAGGAAGAGAAAGGGGGGCGGTAACCTGCAAATTTTGGCATAGATATCTCCAAATCCAGCCTCGATAAATTTGAAAATTTAAATCCATACAATAGTTGTTTTGGTAGAATTCTACCGTCGAAAGGGATGCAATTAACCTAGATTTTTGTAATAAAGGGCCGTTCATAAAAAATACGCAACGTTCTATGAGGAGAAAGAAAGAGGTCGAGAAGAGCAATGTGCCATTTTATTTTAACAAGTCAAACGATGAAGACTTACGACACAAAAATCCGAAAAGTTATACATATTATATGAATGGCTCCCGAAGAAAAGGGTCACGTTTCCAGTATAGGTCAGGAAAACCCTCCTCTCCCCCTTTCTTATACAAATAATTGAAACCCTGTAAAAAAATTATTTTTTCTATGATTACAAATCTCCAGAATATCGGTGATTTTCTCAATTTTCTCCGATACTCGACGATGTTGCCGTGTTTGGTACACAATTTGGCAAAAATATAGGGAACATCTTAAAATGTTTAGGGAACTCAACGTCAAATGTAGTTTAGGGAAGCATTGGTAATTTTACCATATTTCACGATAAATTGACCGTCTTATTTTTTTGCGTGCCCTTCAGTCATAAAGTCACACGCTCAAGGAAGCTAAATAGAAGCATCCGGGCAGAGCTCTTAAAAATGGCAAACACCGCTCTCCTAGAACAAGGCCTACCGAGCCAAACCCAGGAAAGGAACACAGCACTCGGACGTGCTACGCGAAAACCCCGGATCTGAATAGGACTTCCCATAACAGATACTTCGTTTTTACTTAGCAAGGCAGGACTCTGCGCAAACTTTAGTCGCAGCAAATAACGGTGAAACCCGGTCGGTGGACGTCGCGCTGAAAGCATTTTCTGGGCTCAATCGCACTCGCTAGCAGACTGCTCTCTATCTCCTCCTATCCTAGCGTCGCGTGACTTTTTGGCCTTGTTGTCCGCCGCCGAGAATGACGGTTCGCTTGACCACTGACAGTGGCGTGGCGTGAATTGCGATATATCGATTGTTATGCCATTTAAACCTATGGAAAAGGATCGATAAACAGGGTGTTCGCAGCGAACACCTTAATAATCGATTCTTTACCATAGGTTTAAATTGCATAACAATCGATATATCGCAATTCACGCCACGCCACTGACCACTGACGGTTCGCTTGACCACTGACGGTTCGCTTGACCACTCGCGGTGGCCGGAGACCTGCAAGTGAGGTTAGGTAATGGACGGGGATGGCTGCAACCGCGGCGTGCGTTACGCGCTTCTCCGAAAAACTAGTTTCGAATTATGCCGACCGCGGCCGCTTCCTTTTTCTGGAGTCGTGCTCCTGATGCTCCGTGGAAGCTGTAACCTGTCGCCGCGGATCATCCTCGCCGCCTGGTGTTGGACAAACTCGTCACCAGGAAGTCAAACAAGCTGCACTCGTTGCAACAGCGGTTACGGTGCATTGATTATAGGTCCTCAGGATAATACAATCCGCGGTGTTGACGGGGGAGCATTTGACAGTAAGAGATATGCTGGATGCTCTGCAGTCTCTGATGAGATGTACAATGATTAAAATTCAAACAGCGGGTAACAAGGCTTTTTTACACAAACGACATCAAAACGTTTTAGACAGTGGACCAGCAAGGGATATACTTCTCCCCACCCCGTGGGAATTTTGAAGATGGTGATTTTCTTGAAGCTCTCTACTAGTAGAATAAGATTTTTTTGTTTACGCGAATTCGATCATAGTACGGGGGAAGTAAGCATAAGCCCAACCCGCCCAAACCGCCCAAACCCCCCCTCCCAATAAATGCTCAGAATTCCGACTTTTCCGCGAATTTTCCCGTTTTTCTCGAAAAGGCTTGATTTAAGAGCACTACTACGCTGCCGTGCTAGGGAAGAACGCCGTATGAACCTTCAGGCGTTGCCAAATTTCCTTCAATAAAACAAGAATCCCCTGGTAAATATTTATGAATATTTCTCTTCCAATTATTCAGATGATTTTTTTTCGTAATTTCACCGTAAGTTCCTGAAAATTTCCAGGAACAATATTCAAAACTTTCATCAAAAATTAATATTTTATCGAAGGAAATTTGGCAACTCTCGAATGTTCATACGGCGTTCTTCCTTGGTACGGCAGTACTAGTCGAGGGCTTCGAGAAAATCACCATCTTAGAAATTCCTGCGGGGTGGAGAGGGATACCCCATGCTAACCCACGGTCTCCTTCGGCTGAAAACGCAGCCTCCCTCAGTTGGATGAAAAACAATAAAACATTAAAAATCTAAAATATTAGTACTTCATCAGCTGTACCTTTCAAAATGAGAAGAATATTGTTAAATTAACGGTAGTTACAAAGGGCGGCAATTTTTGGGGTGACAAATTATTGCGGAGGGGAGGAGAAAAGAGGGGGAAAAGTTGAATTTGGAATTTGTTGAATTTTTTTAAGTTACATTTACGCCATTGTGTTTACAATTCTTGATTTTTCACTCCTAGATCTTTTAGTAATTTTCATGATTTCCAGGAAAGAGTTCCTTAAAGGGAATATGGAAATCCAGGATTCCCTATCATTTTCCTGTGAGGCCCGGTCACTAAGAAAAAAATACTCCAAAGTTCGGACAAGGCTCAACTTTATCAAAATCTGTCCGACTATTATCAAAAAATTATTTAATCTTATAGTCATCAAACATAAAATTCCCAAATTTTAGCACCAATTCTCTAAAAAACTTCCTGATTTTCTGATTCTCTGATAAATCATAATAGCATTCCTGGACATAGACACCATAAGTTAGGCGATTGAGATTTGACGAGGCCGGTAAGGATTGCCTGGTGCGCTCCTAACAAAAGACTAACAGCATGGTCACGGATTCGAGTCCCGGTGGTGGCGCCAAATTTTTGCGGAACTGGCGAGTAGATCTGCGGAAATAGACTCACACATTGATCCAAGGAGGTAGTAGGGGGCATAACCCCCACCGTTCGCCTGAATAAGGTGAAAGAAAAAGGGAAGGTAGAAAGAACGAAGGAACGGAGGTAATAAGAAGGAGGGATGCTCATATTTGGTAATTATTCATGACAAAATCGACCCAACCTTCATATTGGGTGTTTCAAAATGTCGAAAATTTTCTGGGCGAAGCCCCATGTGCCTTCCTTCCGCCAACCTCCCCGAAAAGTCTGGATCCGCCTATAAACAGATTCCTCTTGACCTTAATTCTTGAACATTTGAAAGGCTGCGTCCATCGCCTTGATGTCCACGGACACTAAATAACCTCTTTAGAAGGCTGTGGGTTTCAAAACAACGATGCACCCACCATTCTAGACCTGAAGCTTTAAGAATCCAATCAACGTAGCTGCTCAGGGCTTTACCTAAGCTCAACAGTTTTACCAATGTGTGTTTTTCTCCGTGTTTTATATGTAGTTACCTCCGCCCAGTTTCTATCAAAGACAAAGTGTTTTTCATGAAAATTCCAAATTGGAAAGTGTCGGAGACTTGAACGCAGCGACACAAAAAACAACCAGTCAGATAAACGTCACCAAACTTGTATACATCTAACAGCTTAGGTATTACTAGGGGGCTACGCCCCCTGGCCGCTACGCGGCCCAACCCCCTGAAGGCGCTCCGCGCCATCAATGGGCCGCTTCGTGGCCCTATTTTTACCCTCCTATCAGTGTTAGTTTTATTTTTCACCCAAAGAATTACGATATGAGGTAAAATTTAATTTTAAACTTTACTTAAAATTACTTTAAAATTAAAAGGACGCGTTTTGGAATGACTGATTGATGAAATATTGCAATAAAACAATGAACAATGGTAGTCAGATAATAATTAAAACTTCATGAGTCGGGGATCGATCCCACAGTAAGTTCATTGTGTGACTCGACGTCTTAGAAGACTCGGCCACCGCCCTACATAAAGATCCTTGCGTGAATCGTGTGAAGATAAGTGTAGAGCTGATGCGCAGGCTACACAGCTACTGCGCAACCTCCTTGACCACTGCGCATCCTCCCGCGCATAGCGGTAGCAGCACCGGAGCATCCTGTAAACTCACTCACTTTTATAACGTGATTTTAAAAAAACCTGGGTCCTTTTTCCAAAATCTGATTAGAGCGGGCTTATCTAGGGCCTATTACCTGTCGATTTACGCAAAAATCATGGAAATCGGCCCGGTAGAACGCTCAAACGAACTGTGACAAAAAGTATAAATTTACATTGTTTAAATGGGAGAATTCGCAACTTTACCACGTAATATAAAAAAACCTGGGCCATATTTTGAAAATCTGAAAAGAGTTGGCTTATCTAGGCATAATTGCCCGTCGATAGCCGCAAAAATCATGAAAATCGGCCTGGTAGAACGCTGGAACTAAGCGTTACCAGTTTCGCAAAATTAGGAGGCCTTGGAGCTTATAGTATAGATAGACATGATGCTTAGAGTAGACTTTTACGAGAATTTAAACATAGAGAATCCCAAAACTGCAAAGCAAAACCAATGACAAAACGATACGGAAGTCTTAGGGTCGGAAATCGTCCGTTTCAGAAAAAGCTATTCAAAATTGTTGTCTTTTTTAGGGCTCAAAACTGTAGGATTACAATGTGCTATGCCGTGTTTTGCTAAATACTGATGGATCAACCTTTTTTTGGTATTCTGAAGTGTGTTTTCTTTTTTAAAAAATGTCAAAATCTCTATTAGACTGCACCTGAAGCAAAAGATTTTCATGGAAACTTTTTTTTTCAATTGCATTGAGTTTTAAATTCATGTGAACGGCAATGATTGAGGCATACTAATTAGGCACATGAATATTATAAAAAAATTTAAATGTCAGACCAAGATGCATGGTTATGGTTATATATGTTACCGATTTTTTCTTCTTCGTTCGTCGTGGAATAATGTTGCATCATCCAATATCAGCAGATCGATTGTGAATGCTCTTAAATATTCCCGATTTTACCACATTTCTTGATACGGTTCTGACAAGGCAAAACTTAAAATGCTACTTTGAATGAAATTTTAAGGCATGAGTCCTTAAATCTACCATGCAAATGACAATTTTTATTCCAGTGAAATATTTTGGAACAAAGATCTTAACTTTTGGTCAAAATTCAATGGGTACTTTGAGTTTGAGTACCTGGAAAATTTTTCGAAAAAGTTGAACATTATGAGGAGGCGATCGATCTATAGGCCTTCGGAAATCAACATGTGCACAAAGTAAGTTCGTGACATGAACTCGATAACAACCATGTATCTTAGTGTGGCATTCATTTTGAACTAGAACTTTATGAAGCTTCAACCATAAGTCGTTTTTAACAATGCAGGATTAAAAACACCTGAACTAGTCCAAAAATACACAGTTAAATACGACATAATCCTTGGAAAGGCTGCAAAGAAGCATAGTAAAAACTCAAATTTAAATTTTTTAAAAAAATAACCAAAAATTAAACTGCTTTTCACTTCTTGCTGAAAATGTATCTTTGGACTTTCTCTTCAAAAATAACTTCGATAGAGGTTTAAAGCGCCCCCGTTATATTCTCACGTCTTCCATGCAGCCATTCTCCGGATCATGCTGTCTTCCCTTGTTTCAAAAATAATTATACTAACGTTCAATGTGGAAATTCCAATAAACAGGCGGAATCCAGAACTCGGTCGTACCACACACACACACACTATCACCAAAGCAACCCACGTGGGCGCGAAAAATTCGAAACCAAGAATGTGAGTACACTGAACTGAGGTAACAACGAGAAACTTCACGAGCGATCGAAGCTTCCCGGCAAATTTGCAGAAAAAAATCGGGGGAATACAAAATCAAAATCGACGAGAAGAAGAGCGACAAAAAACACGCAACGTGTTATCAGTATCCTTTCGTTCCACTGATGCGGATCGTCGCGACGCGATTGGGCGACGCCGACGGTCGAGACTGAGGAGTCGGCGGCGGCTCCCGTCCAGACGCGGCCGGCGCTCCCGCACCCCCTCCCCCCCTGGCGGCCCCCCTGCCTGATATCGCCGGGGGATTTGTCGGGTTTCAGTGCAGCTTCATCAGACGACTCGTTAGCGACCTTTCTGCCGCTAAGTGGGCAAATGCACCCTCGCCGACGATCAAGCTTGAAGTTCTTACTCGTGCCTTTAAAATTCGCAGGTATGTAACAATGGAGATGTTGCATTTGTGAGGGATTTGCGATTTGACTGTTGATTCTTACGTAAAAGTTTGCGAGAAACACGATGGTGCCACTGGTTTTCTCTGAAATCATCTCCCAAGCTCAAAAAAGCTCTCAAGTTGAGGCCAAAATGGAGGGGATATCCCACGCTATCCTGAAAGTCCACCTCTACATCCCTACAAAGATAGGGAGCAAATACATTAGAAGGGTTGCCGTGTTTTCAATTTAAGAGTCCCCAAATAAAGTGGCAGCCCTGTCAATGTATTTGCTCCCTATCTTTGCATGGAGAGTTTGTCTTGATGTAGAGGTTGACTCTCAGGATAGCGTGGGATATCCCTTCCATTTTGGCCTCAACTTGAGAGCTTTTTTTGAGCTTGGGAGTTGATTTCAGAGAAAACCAATGGCACCATCGTGTTTCTCGCGAACTTTTACATATGAATCAACAGTCAAATCGCAAATTCCTCACACATGCAACATCTCCATTGGACGCATTGTTGCCAAACGGAACTATGTGCATTGAGACATGAGCCCAGAGGCCCATAAGTATATATGCATAAGAGGGCTCACATCATAATGCACATAGTTCCGTTGGGCAGAAATACGTCCAATTGTATCCGTTTGCAATCAGGGTCGGATCAAGGGGGTGGCCACATGGGCCGCGGTCTATGGCGGCAAATCTAGAGGGCGGCAAATTTTGCAATTTTTTTAAATGAAGGTATAAGAAAATATCGGATTTAGAAAACAAAAATTACAAACTAGAAAAGGCGACAACATCTCTCATTACCTGAGAGTATAGTAATTTTTAATTTTGTCGTCTTTCAGTGCTACATGAGACAGCACCTTTGATTAGTTGAGTTAAGAGAGAAACCAAACACGCAATTCGGCCTGGAACGGCGCGCGGCGCAGAGAGCAATGATGACGAGGACTTGAGATGAAAAGGAGAAACCATCGGCGCGGCGATCGGCATGTAACACATATCAGCGCCTACAAGACTGTACGAATACTTCACGCATTGCATCAAACACAGTGCGGTCATTGCGGTCAGCGAGAAACGGATAGCGCCTACAAGAATGCAAGAATACTTCACGCATTGCGCCAAACACAGTGCGGTCAACGTGAAACGCATGGCGCCTACAAGACGGAAATCAGCACAAAAATCTGCACAACCTTTTTCATGTAAAAAATTGAATGGAGAATTTGCACGCAATTTTTTTATTGCTTCATCTGAAAGTGCCTAATGAGCTGAGTTCGCAATATTTTTCATAATTTTTTTCTGACATGGGAAATTGGAGAAAAATTGATTTAAAAGTGAGAAAATGTGCCGCCTTGTGACGTCATTTGGCGGCATTTCCCATTTAAACACATGTATTTTAGCAGAATCGGTTATTTTGTCATATCTCCTCTAATAATTGCTCAATTTATGAATCAAGGGTATCTTCGTGTTCAGTTCACTCAGAGGATTCCACTTAAACAGGAAATTCATCAAATTTCAGACCCTTGCAAATTCTCCATTGCCCAAATAAATTTAACAATAGCTGCTGTGGCTTGGTTCCTTTCTGCTCAGCGCGGTCCATTTTAAATAGTCAATGGTCCTCTGAGGACGAAAGGCATTGAAAGACTCCACGCCCATCTCTTGAGCGGCCGTTTTGCCTTGTCTTTCGGAGAGGATGATTTTGCCCGGACGTTCGCCAGTTTGTTGCCTGTGCGACAAGCGGCTAGGACTACCTTTCTCTCGGGGTCCCCTTGCCGTCCTCCGCCCCGGCGCCGGCGGCGAGCCTCACGCTTTTTTGACACTTCCTTCCTTTCTTCCTTCCTCTCGCGGCCCGAGTCGCAGTCGGCCGGGGCGGTGTATTTTTTCTCACAACTCTCACTTATCTTGTCGCTCATTCATATTATCTTCGTTCGTCGTATCGATGAGAGCCGTGATCTTGATGCGGAGAAGACTAATTCCACCCAGTAGCGTGGCGTGCTTTGCGATATATCGATTGTTATGCCATTTAAACCCATGGAAAAGGATCGATAAACAAGGTGTTCGCAGTGAACACCTTAATAATCGATTCTTTACCATAGGTATAAATAGCATAACAATCGATATATCGCAATTCACGCCACGCCACTGACCGTACTGCCAGACTGCGCCATTCGAACTGTCGTGATAGCGACAAGAGCTGTAAGTGTCGAATTTTTGAAATCGAGCTTCCTTCAAAATTCGTCTAATCCCTTTTAGATGGAATCACTGGAATAGCTAAAACAGCAAAGTTCATCTTGAAAAACGAGATCGACTTATATGCTACCGTGCTAAGGAAAAACGCCGTATGAACCCTCGGGCGTTGCCAAATTTCAATTGATAAAACACGAATTTCATGGTAAACTTACGTACATTTTTCTTCCAATTTTTCGGAATATGTTGTTTATAATTTCACCAATAGTGCCTGAAAATTTCAAGGAAAAATATTCGTAACTTTCCTCATAAATATGTATTTTATTGAAGGAAATTTGGCAACTCTCGAATGTTTACACGGCGTCCTCTCTAAGTACGGCAGTATGAGAAAGCCGTAAGTGCGCAAAAAATGACGTATTTTCAGGCAAGACAGCGGTAAGTGACATTATTCCTCCAGAGAGCCAATGAAAACAGTGCTTTCAAGTACAGTGGCGCCCTCTTCTGCCAATTCCTAACCTGAAAATGTGTTCGTTGTGTACCCAAAACTACTCAAAACGCAACTACGAGCACATGCAAAAGATAGCACTTACGGCTGTCTTGCCTAACACTAGCCTGAAATGAAAATGAATAATATTCTTTCTATGTGATTGTACTAAAATCTGTCGATTTATAATCATCCAAATGATTGCTATAAGAGTCTTTTGGATGAGGAGTGGCAATTGGCAGAGCCGGCTTTACCTACTTGCCGCCCATGGGCCGCCTGTATTTTGCCGCCCCTTTCTCATTCGTTTTGAACATCAACAAGAACCATAAATTAGACGTGCTGTATGGAAAGGGGGTTCATAAGACTCGTTTACTCGTGTGCGCACATTTTTGTGAAAGCCCTGTCAACACTCGCAAAAGTTCACGAAATTTTGCGCGGAGATTAAGTTCCGTAAACTTATCTATGTAAAAACAAGGCCTTCCATTGATAAGAAATAAACGAAACAATATGAATGTGGTTAAACAATTTTAGCCTCCACTGCACTCAGACTGCACTGCCCGCACTGTTAGGCGCAATGCGTGAAGTATTCCCACAGTCTTGAAGGCGCGAATATGCGTCCTACGCCGACCGCTGACCGCACTGTGTTTAACGCAATGCGTAAAGTATTCATGCAGTCTTGTAGGCGCTAATATGCGTTTTATGCCGACCTGCGCCGCGCCGAGGGCTTCTCCTATTCTGTCGTGCTAAGGAAGAACGCCGTATGAACATTCGAAAGTTGCCAAATTCCCCTCAATAAAAGGTTCATTTTTGAGGAAAGTTATGAATATTTTCCCTTGAAATTTTCAGGAACTTTAGGTGAAATTGCAAGCAACATCATCTGAAAAATTGGAAGAAAAATATTTACAAATTTTCCCGACAATTTGTGATTTACCAAAGGAAATGTGGCAACGCCTGGAGGTTTATACGGCGTTCTTCCTTAGCATGGCAGCATTCATACCAAGTCCTTGTCCGCTTTTTTTCTTCTTCTTCTTCTTCTTCTTCTTTTCTTTTTTTTTTGTTGAAACCTAAATTTTAAAAAATCGCAAAATTTGCCGCCATGGGTCGCGGCCCTCGTGGCCACCCCCAAAATCCGGCCCTGGCAATTGGACAAAAAACGGAGGGTTTTCAATAACATTTTCCGCTTAGACGCTTTCTGAGCTCGTTTTCTGGAAACTTCATTTTTGCACTTACTGCTGCAGCTCTCTCCACTATCACGGCAGCGGAGAGAACAATAGGGAATTAAAATGACCGTGCCTCGGACGAGAGAAGAAGTAGAAGATGAACATGGAGACGCGGAGGAAAAGTAAGGAGAGGAAGAAAAACAAAAAGAAAATATGATTCTTCATCTTTTTCCAACACGTCCTCTACTTCTCATGACTACCTTGACTTTCCACCTTCTTCCTTTTCTCCTTCTTTCTCTGCTTCTAGTTCGCCCTGTTTGTTTTTTTATTTCTAATTCGACTTTATCTGACATATTGTTGTAGGAGTCCTTTGCTAATTGACAAATCGACGCGGTGTAAGTCGGCAATCACATAACTCGGTTTGCGACGACGCAGACTTCCTGTCATACTTTATTTTTTAAACGGAAAACTACTCAACGGTAATTCTTTAAAACTGCCGTGATTCTTCTTCTCTGTGCGAAAAAAAATTCTGCATAAACTTCAAGGAATGATGTCAATCTGTTCTCCTTTAAAAAATAACATAGAGGCGGAGATTTTTAGACACCGCAAACGAGACATGTGATTGCGGACGTACACCGTCGAAATTTGTTTTTCTAAAAATACCCAATGTAGGTTGGTATGGTTGTAGGTATTCTTTTCTTCAAGCAGGCCCGTAATCGATCAGAATCCAAGTTGATCATACTGGGGTTGAGCATAAAGCTATACCGCACTTTACACTGTGCAAAGTGCTTCTTCAGAATTGATTTGAATTATTATAGGTAGATTTTTTTGCATAAAGATCTCTTATACTAAATCCAGAAATAGAAATTTCTGATTTGTCAAAATAATGCTGAATCGCTAAAACCTACACAATAAAACGGAACGGTGGCGATACGCGG